AATACACACATGCATGTATATATTTAAGAAAAATATGTTACGTTTATATATTTAATATATTTATATATGATATAATTTAAATACAGACATGTAAATACATGTAAATATTTTCAAAATATATATTGTCTGTATGTGTATTTATATATACATAATAAAAATACACAGAACACACACAGACATATATTATGCAAACAAAAACTTTTATTTTGGATGCGATTAATCGCGATTAATCATTTGACAGCACTAATTAATTGTCAAAGCCCAACATCGGCATCGGCCCGATATGAAAAATTATGCCGATATGTCTTGCCGATAAGAGGAATACATTAACTCACATGTGCTCAGGGTGTGCTAGCGATTAGATCACGTCGGTATCGGCAAAAATGAGTTGAAAATTATCGGCATATCGGATATCGGCAAAAATCCAATATCGTGCATCCCTATCCTATATTGTGTGTTACAGGATCTCCTCCTGATGAACTGGATTGATTTGACTCACCTTCAGCGTCCAGCATCTTCGGGATGTCCAGGTACTTCTCTGCCACCTCAAACGCAGTGTTCAGGTTTCCAATAGGGTCGTCCTTCAGAGGACCGACAATTAAAAAAAAAAAAAGAAGCCATTACAGACACATACTGTCATTGAGATTCAGGCCTTATATTGTGCTCTGTTTGTGCACAGTGTCTGATATTTAGCTTGTAATAATTTTCTTAATGTTCTAAATAACATTACATGACTGTAGAACAATCATAGATGTTTAGAAACAGATTCCAACCAGATTTTACTGTCAGAACTATCAGTTTTATACTAATTTGATTTGATTTCTGAATCAATTGTTTGAGCCAGCAAATCATAACCTGATTGGATAAAACAAGAGCTTTGGACTCGAGGATAAACCTTAGAGGATTAAAATAAAAAACATTGTGTGTTGAATTGGCATAAAACTCTACACAGGGAATAAATGTAAAATATCTGAAGAGAAACTGGTGGATAAAGAGCGAGCGATTGGTAGGAAAGACAGAAGCAGCACCTTTCTGAGTTTAGAGTAGTCGATGAGGTCTGGTCTGTGTCTGTGGATGAGGGCGCACAGAGCGAGGCCGTCCTTCCAGCTGACAACAACACAGACAACGTATTAGCAAACCTGACCATGCTGATGTATAAAGAAATTAAATAAATAAATAAATCATAAAAATGAGAACACTTTACAATAAGGTTCCATTTGTTAGCATTAGTTAAAAATAACTCGCAATGGGAAATACTTCAAAAAGCATTTAATAATAATGGTTAATGCTGCTTTCAACATTTACTAATGCATTACTAAAATGAAAAGTTGTATCTGTTAATATTACTTAATACAATATATTGTGCTCTGTTTGTGCACAGTGTCTGATATTTAGCTTGTAATCATTTTCTTAATGTTCTAAATAACATTACATGACTGTAGAACAATCATATGGCGCTTTTCCACTGCATGGTACGGCACGGTACGGCTCGGTACGGTTCACTTTTGGGGGGTTTTCCACTGGGTACAGTACCTGGTACCTGGTACTTTTTTTAGTACCACTTCGGTTGGGGATCCAAGCGAACCGTACCGTTACCAAAACGTGACGTGTAAACCCTGCTGATCACGGATTGGCCGGAGAGAATCGTCACTACCTGC